GATTCCACTGAGAATTAATGACTTCAGCTATGGTAACTAGCCATAATATTTAATGTAACTGCCTTGAACCACTTGAATATCTAAAAGAATGATTTTGTCTAAGGCGTTACATTAAGGGCTTACCAGGAAAACCTAGGATCTTTGTGTATATATTTTAGGGAGTTGTTTTACTGTCTTATATAGTTTTTCTCATTTCTTTCTATAAATGTTAGTGACATTTGAATGAGGAAAATGCAAATTCTGTCTATTTGTCAGTATATCTTTTCACTAATTTGCCTATCTATAGCTTAACATTTTTACAAAGTCCCTTCCTTCTTCCATCTCTTCCTTCCTTCTTCCCTCCCTTCCTTCTTCCTCTCTCCCTTTCTTTCTTCCATTAGTTTTGTTTTTGCCTTTTTTCCATTTAACATCATGATTTCATTAAATAACTCTGAAGTGTCAGGTACTGTCCCAGTGCCTGGGAACAAGCCCAATTCCTAGCAACAAGCAATAAACAAAGAACCTAGGTCTCTACTGTCTTGGAGCTCAACTTTTGGTGAGGAAAGAAAGAAAATAAACAAGACTGTTCAGATGATATTAAGTGCATTAAGACATTAAAGCAGGACAATGTGATAGACGTTAGAGTGAAAACACTTTAGATAAAGAGATCAGGCTTCTCTGAAGATGTGGCAAATGAACCGAGATATGAACGATGAGGACACAGCATAGTGGGGCTCTGGGGGCAGAGCCTTAGCGGCAGAGGGAACAGCAAGTACAGAATAGTTGAAGCAGCTTAAACTACTAGTCAAGACAATGAGAAAAAGCAGTAATGAGGGGAAATGGAAGAGAGATAATAGGAGAAAGTTGTAATGCAGATATGCAAGCTATAGCGTTTGATAAAGTTAAAGCTGCAAATTTGGGTCCTATCTTCCCAGAAGCCAAGGTGAAAAGAGAAACGTGCCAATCTCAAGGTTTGCTTTTGGGGGGGGGGGCAGGTTGGGGGGAGGTTGCCATGGGTTTTTGCACTAGCCAGAGAGAGAGACAGTGAGAGGGAAAGTGAGAAATCACCTCCCAGGGGGCATGGCCACACCACAATCCCTTCTTCACTCTCCTCCTGGGATTGGAGCATGCATGCACACACACGAGCCTCATGATTTTCAAGCCTCCAGGTCTGAGACCAGAACTGCTGTTGGTCAGGTGGGAGTCCAGCAGTTTAACCACCACGCCACCTGCTAGCGTCAAGTTTACTTTGTATAAGGAGAAGGCATATCTGTTTCTCAAGAAGAAAAATTTATTCCTGGCATTCAGGATGGAAATACATTTCTGAAGTGGATCTTCCTGTGCAGGGCATAGAGTGGTTGTGTTAGAGTGGTCTCTCTCTTCGCAGATGTTCAATCCTACTTCCTGGAACCTGCAGATATGTTATTTTATGTACAGAAGGCATTTTATAGATGTGATTAAGTTAAGGACCTTCAAATGGGGAGTTTATCCTGGATTTTTTAGGTGAACCCAGTCTAATCACATGGGTCCTTGAAAGCCAAGAGACCTTCCCAGCTAGAATCAGAAGCGTGGTCAGAAAAACGCAAAGCTGCTGGCTTCCAGGATGGAGGGCGAGGGCCACAAGCCAGGGAATGTGGGTAACTCCTAGAAGCTTGAAAAGACAAACTCCAGAAAGGAACACATTCTTGCTGATTAAAGCCCAGTGAGGCTTGTGTGGAATTTGGGACCTACAAAATTGCCACGAGAATAAATTGGCATGAAATCACCAAGTTTTACTAATCTGTTCAGCTAGCCATATAAAACAATCCAATCAGATTCATTTTAGTCGCAATATTAGAAATTCACTCACCTGAACTAGCTAAGCAAAAGAGTGTATTATAAAGATTCCATGGAATTCAAGAATGCAACCCTTTTCGGGAAATACTGTGACCAGGGATGGAAAGCTGTAAGAACTGTTCTGGTCTCTCTTCTCTTCTCTTTAGAGATCTTTTTCATCCTTTCTGTTCTTTTCCCATTTCTCTAGAAGCCTAGTTTTCTGTATTTCTCCAGACTACCTGGCGTGGTAGGAAAGTATGTGGAAAACTAAACTACTGATTTTCTGTACTAACACTACTCTGTTGTCATATGAACTACCTAGAGGAAGGCTGAAATCTCTCCTAGTTCCACATTTGTGGGAGACGGGAAATGATTAGCTTGGTTTGAGTCAGATACCTACTATTAGAGCAGTCAACTATGACCAGGGGGGCTGATTCCTTGTCTGAGGATCTAGGGCTGGTAGAAAAAGACATCAGCTTATGCTGCTGGTTTTTAAATGCCACTTGCAACTCATATGAAAGTCAAGAAACTAATGGGTAGAAATCAGCATTAAGAAAAGGATGAAAGTGTAAGGGTGCATAGCTTATGGTGTGGGTAATGTTTTAAAGATTTGTTTCAGTTACTAAATAGGTAGGTACACATGTACTGGGTGGTAATGTAAAAGGTGTTTCTTGGTAGAGTACGATCTCGAAAGTTGGAAAAGCCCTGGGCTTGACCATGCGGTAGGATTCTGCTACAGGGATAGAATGAACATCATTTTATTTGTTTGATTAATTTGTTATAGGGCGTGTATTTGCTGAGGAGGGAGAGAGAGAAGGTGAGAAAATACCCTGTAGGGGAGATGGCCATGCTACAATCCTTTCTCTTCCGTTCTCTTCTCACGATGCTGGGCACACATGCGCTCAGAGTATTCCTCCGCCCCAAGCTGCTGCTGGGCCTAGGATTTGAAGGGCACAGTCAGCCATGTGGGATCTAGCCGCCTGAGCCACCGATGCCACTGGCTGGCCCTAAACATTATCTTATTTTATTTTTAAATTTGTTACAGGGTGTGTTCACTTGCCAGAGAAAGAAAGAAAGAGATAGAGACAGAGGAAGTGAGAGAACACCCCTTGAGGGGTCGGTCACACTGTAATCTCTTTTCCTCTTGGGATTTTGACCATGCATACACATGTGCCTGGTGTGTTTTTCAAGCTGCCAGGTCTGGGACTTGAACCACATAGTCAGCCATGAGGGACCTAGCCACCTTAACCACTACACCACCAGCTGGCACCCTAAACATTATTCTTAAAATAATCCCCTTGGTGGGAACCAGCAGTTAGCGTAATGGCTATGTCGCTGGACTCCCACGTAGTCAACCGCGGTTCGCGTCCCGGACCCGGTGGCTTGAAACTCACGCCGGGTGCGTGTGCGTGTGTGCCCAAGATCCCGAGAGGAGAATGGAGGAGAAGGGATTGTGGTGTGACCATCTCCCCTGGGGGGTGATTTCTCGCTTTCTGTCTCTATGTCTCTCTTTGTCTGGCGAGCGCACGCGCCCTATAGCAAAAACCTCTCCAAAAAAAAAAGAAAATAATCCCCTTGGTCAATGTAGAGATGCCATGAGTATTTTTTTTAATAGCATCTTAATATACTCAAATGACATAAGGCATCATACAAGCCTTTCTGTATTCCTCCAGGCTATGTGGTGTGGTGGGTGCCAAGCCTGACTTGGTACAGGCAGGGTTGCAAAGATGAAGGCAAAGTAGTATAAGAACACAGCTTTTTCATGGTCTGGAAAAATCCGGGATAAATTTGGTCCAGTGGTTCCCAACTTCACTTGGCATCAAAGTCATAAAGATCTTTTAAAAATGGTTTCATGGGATCTATTTAATCAGAGTTTCTGAAAGTATAACCTATGTTTATCCAAAAAGCAAAGCCAAACACACAGAACTCCTGAGATCTCTCTGATATGCGGCCAGGTCTGGGAATCACTGACCCACAGACTGTACAGAAAAGGGGTCATTTGCATGCCTTTCGAAGAATTCCCTGTAGCTAATTTCTCTCAGACTTTGGTTAGGCATTAGGAAGCAGACAGTTTAAAGTCATTCCTTGAAAAAGGTCTGAAATGTAAGGCCAAGCTTCGTGGCCATTGATGAAAGACAGATCCATACACTTCACAGTCCAATGAAGCAGATGGTAAGAGTTTATCTCCTTCCATGGACATGCTTGGATAAATGGCCCGGTGAGAGAGCTGGGTGGGAGGCAGGTTATTCCAGACCCTTGTTAGACAACAGTTCTGTACTTATCCAGAACAAGGTCTGGCCAAGTCCCCAAGTTCTACAATGCAGGACAAGGTGGGGTTATTTGTGCTTGAAACAAATTTAAAAACTGAAATGACCAGTAATCCACTATAGCCACCGTGAGCTTTTGATGATCAGCACAGGATGAACTAGTTGCCAATGTATGCAATAAAGCAACCAACCCGTTATACCAAGTTATTGGCTATCATCGAATTAATTTTAGACGGTATCTTCCTCAGATAATCAGGCTAGTATTAGGAGAGTTCAGTTTCTTCTCCACAGCTGCTGGAGGGCAGGACCCAAGATCACAAAAGCCATTCCTGGTTCAGGGCAATAGAAAAATTAGCATACAGCTGGAACCAGTATTTCCAACTTTGCAAGAGGCGCACATTCAGGTGGTCCCGCAGGCTTCTAAAACACATCGCAGTTTGCTCAGGAGCCTTGGCAGCCCTTAGGTGGAAACACACTACACTCAGCACTGATAAATGGATAGTTCCCTGCCCCTTCAGGCCACCTCCACGCCCTCCGTCATGCAGGACCGCGACCCCAGCTCCAAGTCGCTGGGGCCACGCCAGGGCCGCAGGACGGAGTACTGCAGGAAGAAAGCTTTCCTGTCTGCTGTGTCACATGCGCCCCTCCAGGGCCCGAGACAGGACTCCAGGTCCCCAGGTGGGGCTGCCCGCGGGCGCGCCGTGGACCGTGCGGGCGCGTGGCCGC